GGTCGCGAGCGTAAGCGCGTACACGTAGTCGACCATCTGTACGGCTACGGTCGGCTCGCACACAGCGAACGTTCCCACCGTTGCGACGCAACGCGCCGCGGCCCACCTCGCCCCGCCCCGCCCCGCCGCCCCCGCTCCACCCCGCTCCGTCTCTCGCCCTGCCGCGCCTCGCCGACGCTCGCCCGACGCGTCACGCCGCGTTTACGAGGCGTCGGGAGAGGCGACGCGAAAGTAGACGACCGAGACCCGCCGGTCGCCGCGACGCGATCCGACGCTCCGGGCTCACCGTGCCTAATTACGCGAGCATGATCCTCTTCCAGCTCTCGCGCCGTTAATGGATGGCTCGTCGAAGGGACCCGCGGACGTAGGACGCGGCGAATCGATGAATCGGAGCCTCCTCCCCCGCCTGACGCGCGCGGCTGTTACAATTAACGATTATTACCCGGCACGACATCCCGCGGACGAGCCTTAATTAATAACGTCCCACTGATAACGCGCGAGATTTATCGTCTACCAAATGTCTGCGTTACCGGCGCAAGGTATTCCGTAAGAAACGACGCCGGGTCGGAGATATACGTCGTGAAATTCCGCGCGAAACTCACGGCTCGTTCATTTCGCGGGTATCCACGCGCGGACGCACCGGTGGCTCTTTACCAACCGCGAGGTAGCGGCGCAATTTCGACTCGGCGCGTTTTTGGAAAATATTGTACCGGCGGCCCGCGCGCGCGCGTATTCGAACGAGAATTTTCTCAATGGAGAGACCGCTGAAAATAAACGAACGTATTCGGACTCGCGGCGACGCTCGATTCACGAATCCGTTCGGAGAATCGCCTCGTGGAATATATCACTGAAAGCATGAGATGTCAAATGATTTTGTTTTTATTATAAAAACTGCGACGCATCGAATTATATGAATATCAAATTTATGATTCAAGAGAAACCTACGACACTGAACCTAGTAGAAAACGTAATAATAATAATAATAATAGTCCCGTAATCGTAATCTTTCCTGGCAAATATCCATTTTATTTTCTTAGCCCTCTATAGCCTACAATCTTGTTCACTCGTGAAAACGTGGAATGTTTACATCCTCTCCGTAAGTCTAATGCCACGATAAGAAAGGCGATGGGTGATGACAAGTGGTGAAACTGATATGCAACGTCACAATATACGGCATAGAGGGGTAAGAGATGTATAGTAACTACTAAATATCTTTACAGCGCATCACCGTTCTCTCTTTCTCTCCCTTTCTAAGCGTCGATAATGATAAAGATAAATTCTGTGAGAGATCTTGCTTCCCGTTTCCCGCAATAACGCCCCTAATTACGCCCTTCCGAATTTCCGATTGTCTAAAAATTAATGGCGAACGTTCGGAATTTCCTCTCTCTCGAGAGAGAGAGACGCAACGCAAAATTCCGATGTCGAAGCGCCGAGACCGCGCCGTCGCGGCGGGTCTCGGGCCAGTTACAATTTAAGCACACGCGGTACGAGCTTTTAAAAAACGTAGTCGGTATTGCTCTTTTGTACTTATGGTTGCGCGATTCTTACTTACTCGACTAAAGCATAAATTTCTACGTGCTTTGCACGATAATCTCGAACGGAAAAAGCGGTTTCGAGTAACTCTCTTCCTTAAAACCAAACCCTTAACTAGCTACGCTTTACGCAAGAGGACAAATTTCAACGCGCGAGCAATAGACTTTCTACGTGGTCTCGTCGATACAAAAAGAGCAATAAATTCGAATTAAATTAAGGCTTCAACCTTAATCCCTTTAATGCCCTTATATATATAATCCTTCGATGGCGTAAGTTTAATAAATTCAGTGGATGCATCGCGACGTGTCCCGCGACATATAAATGTTGCACGCTGTTTGATTCTGAGGCTCGCAGAAGCTAGCGGTGAATTTTCGTCGTGAGGACAAGGACCAGAGTCCCAAACGGGTCCGATGCGCGAGGAAAACGGTCCCTACAGAGTATACAAATTTCACATGAGTCGTGCACGCGAACGGGTAGTGTGTCGATTGGCCATTCGTACGCGAGACATTCTTCTGAGACAATCCTCTCGAAAGACGTCAGACAAAAGGAACGAAAGTCCAGTTTCCAAGATTCCAAATTGTCGAATAAATAACTGGCGAGCAACCGCATCACCGTGTAACAGCGTTTAAGAGCCGAGGAGAGCGGTGTGTCCTTTGACTTCATCTGACTGCTTTGATTCGCCTTAGAGGTGACTAAGCGATATATGGATACAATGTATGCCGTTACGTATGCATCAACCACCTAAATTTATACGCAAGCCGTGCGTAATCTTCACATGGTGCGTAGCGTCCTGTTACGCACCGGAGACGGCTGAAACTAATACATCACGCTATACATGTAATATATACAAGACTTATATATCTCAATTTCGTTCGGTTATGTACAATTGCATTCATATATATTTATTGCGGTACGTGCAGAGTGGATTGATAGATTTATTAAAATAGACAGAAGCTCAGTTCTCTGTAAAAAAAAAATTTACGTCACATCTCTTAACGAGTTTGACATTGATCGCTATTGATAAAAGAGAAGATGTTCTTTGTACTTTGCGGTTGTTTTCTCTCTTTAATATATCTGTATTGATTTGTTCTGTCGAGGCATAAAATGCATAGCGCTTGAATTGTCGTTTTCATTTATTATCCGAGTAAACTCATTTTCATGTAACGGTTTGTAAGTGGTTGATGCATCCGTATCTTGAATGTAGTGCAGCATGGATTTACAAATAATGCTATGGCTGGAAGAAAAACTTCGGTACAAAGGCATGTTACAGAAAATACGTCACGTATTTATGAATATGTAAGTGCAATATACGTACATCGAGCTTTTCTTACATGTGTATCAGGTATAAATATATATGTGTGTATATATATTTATGTATGTATATAAAATGTATGACATCACTGTGAAAAAATGTTAATTTCAATCTTTTTCTACAATACTATGGGCACTATAAAGAATTAGATGATCTATTTTAAAAAGCGCAATCTATTCTAGAGGGCAGTTTATACATAAAATCTGGGATTAATCTCTAATTGTTAAACAATATCTACCATAACTTTTGCTTCAAACATTTCTCCATACAACGGATAATTTATAATTAAGCAATTTCATATAAATAAATTATATAGAACGAAATATGTTCATATATTCATACAGAATGAAAAACTTGAACTTAGAAAATCTGTCAATTATAAACCGATCACTTCATCGTCATAGAGTCATCATTTCCTATTATGAAAATAACTAAAATCAGGTTTTAAATAATCAAAATGCATTAATCTGAACTGAAAATTTTATAATTCAAATGTAATTAAATTAATCAAACTTTCCAGGTCAGCTTTATTTACATTACGTAAAAACTTGTTAAGTGCAGAACGTAGAAAATTATTTTCATTACTGAAATGTTTATAGCCTCAAAATTGTTTAGAGTTAATAAAAAGTAACTGGGCAAAAATAAGCATATAGTTGATATACTATATTTAGATAATAGATTTGTTTTTTATTCCTGTAATAGTTCAGAGTTATTTTCAATCGTAATTGCTTCCGGATGGTTGCCGCGTCCGTTTGCAGTGTGGTGCCGACGTTTCGCAAACATTACAGTTTGCATCATCAGGGCTGGGAAACTCTGATACCAGTATCAGTATAGTATCAGTATAGTAACAGCATCAGCGTCTCCCAGCTCTGATGATACAAACTGTTAATGTTTGCGAAACGTCGGTACCACACTGCAAACGGACGCGGCCACCATCCGGAAGCAATCACGATTGAAGAAGACAGTAGCCGCGAAAGCTTGAAAGCCAAGTTCAGAGTTATCTTTATCTTTCTGTATGAAAAGGAGAAAAATAAAGCCTAAATCAGTCAGTGCAGTTATAAAGATCTATGATAATATTTAAGTTGTAAGTTTTAATAAATATAAAAAAAATGTTTTCTTTTATACCTATTAAAAATGTTAATACTAATTCGTGTGGTTTATTTTTATTTGATGCATTCAAAAATTATTAAATTAAAATTTATTAATTTTTATTTAAATTAATAAATGACAATGTAGCAATTTAAATAAAATGTTTAATACACCTTGTATATTTATCTGAATCAGAGGCATTAAAAATTAATTTGTAACTGCCCCCTAGAATGGAAAACTCATAAAAATCATACAGCATCTAAATTTTCATGTTTGTTTTAGACTATATAGAATCTATATATTAACATTCCTTCAATACATTAGTAAAGTATGTAACAAATAATATATGCAACCGTAATGAGATGATCATTCTAATTATCGTTATTTCACATGCCTTACCTGTAAATCCATGTCTAATTTGCATAATGACGGAACTTATTTATAGTGCTAACTACATACTAGTTTTGTTATAATAATTTCTTCAATCCTAGTTTCAACCTTTCCTGAGCTGGATTCACTTTGATTTTTAATTGCTGAATTAAATCAAAAATTTTTAGAGAAGGTCCAACTTTGAAACCCGTTAGGTCTATTATTTGGTCCTTAGTGAGAAGCAGCATTGCCTTTCCATCTATTTTACGTTTACTGAAATTATCGCAATACGTCGCACAATCATTAACTCGAAGGAATTGCGCAACATCAAAGACATTCCACTCAGATGGCACTAGATCACCAGATTCCGAACCTCTTTGTACACCATCTGCTAGCCTTGGTATATATTTAGTACTTGCTGAAGTAACCTACAAGTCAGATAAGCCAGAATAGACTACAATAATTCCAACTTTATATCTCAGATTTTTGTGGTGATGTCGCGATACTTGCATTAATATATGACGTAGCGGTTCTTTCCTTGGGTAGTGGAGGGCTCTGTACTTCGCTCTGTGTGTCGCTCAATGCTTGACCTTGTCCAGTAGTAGGAATAGGTAAAGTTTGGTCAGGTCCAGCTGGCTCTTGCGCCGTTTCCGGCTCTCTGCTCCTCTGCTCCGGCAAACTTTCTAGATCGCGCTCTCTTTCAATTTTCGTTCCTTGAGCAGGTTCCAATTCTCGCCCGCGTTCGCGAGCCATACTAATACGTTCGCTCTGACGAGGTAGTACATTCTTGGAGCAAGACATCTTGCTACCCTTCTTCATTTTTCTCTTAGCTTTACGTTTAAGGCCTCTTGGTGATTTTACTACGAGAATATATTCATAAATATAAGCATATGTGAACAATATGTGCATAAATACGTGTACAAATGGTACACACCAGTAGGACTAGTGTTTTTTACGGGTACACGCGGCCCTTCCAATTTGTGGTCGACAAGATCACACCATCCAACAGGATAAATATCTGGACTTTGACAGTCTAACCATTGATCATATTCGTCCTCCCAACCGTCGAAATGCACTCGTAGTAATCTGCCAATCACCCTGGTAATAGTAGCGACACAAACTAATCTAGGGTCCATTAAATCAGCAGCCTCGAGTCTCATTCCTTCGATAAATCCGTGTTGAGGAATTTCCTAAAAGAAAAATATAAAAAGTATATTTAGCATCGCTACAAATCATTAAAAAAAAAGTATATAAACATATGGAAAAATTACCCGATTAAACAACTGCACAGGGGCAGGTACAGTATTTGTCTCTGTTAGATATGCATCCCATGTAAACGTGGTAGGATCATAACTTTTTGGCGGCGTTAAAGGTAGACCGTGCTGGGAACAAAAGCCAACTGGAAAGATGCAAGGCGAACACGAGTGATAGCAAAACCAATCGGCGCCGCTCGCCTCTTCGTCATAACTGTCGATGCGAATCATAATGTAATCCTTTTCCAAAACCTGCATGACCGTCGCCGCGCATATAGCCGAAAGATTGAGCGGATCGATAGCTTCTATTTTCATTCCTTCCTTAAACGCGTATGTGAGGTGCACGTGATGATTCTTTGGCACATAAAACAGATTCTCCGTTGCGTCGTCGTCGGACAATTTCGATTTAGAAATACGATTCAAGTACTCGGGATACGCGTCCAGCCTGTGACCCACTCTCTTGGCCCAACCAACAGAATGTATGAGGGGCGAGTCCTCGTGGCACCAAAACCCGTTGTCCTCCGGTGGCGAATCATAATATCTCACGTGCAAACGTTTGCCAACTATCTTTTGTATCGTCGCCACTTTCACTTGTGAGATTCTGTTTTTATCTACCACTTCTAAATGAAGACCACATCGGAAACGAGATTTCATGCTGTCGTTCACCTTATTATAGAAACTCGTTGGAAGTGTCCTTGCTCCGGTTAACCGCCTCATTAAAAAATCCTTCCAATCTTTGTACTTGTTTGCGATCGCTGAAAAAAATAATTCAATTACACCCGAATTTTTCTCAGATTAACCGTTTTCTCAACAGATTTCTCTTTCAATCGCCCAATTTGTCATTCTGTTAGAAAGAACTTGGATTACGTACTGTTAGGTGGAATGAGAGGTTTTCCGATCGTAGCGCACCAACCAACGGGGTGTATGTCATTGGAACAAAGCGATACCCAAAAATCCTTGTCTGCATTGTGTCCGAAACCCTCGTACCTCAACAGAGCTCTGTATCCGTATATACGTAATACAGTCGCGACCCAAAACGAATCTGGGAAAGCCTCGCACACTTCATCACAATCGGTATTTTCCACCTCCACTTTCATACCCACTGTGATATTGTCCCAAATATCAGAGATAGGAGCCTACAAAAATTGACGATATAACGAGACATCTGTAAAACTGTACAAAGACAAAAGGAAGCTTCTCAGAGAAACCAACGTGTTTGAAACAAGAAACTGGCGCGGCGCAAAATCCAGTTTCAACAAGCTGCGGCGTCCAGTCGTAAGAACCCGCCATCTCCGCTGTTCTCTTTCTTCTGACCGGTAAATCCTCTGGCATTACTGGCTCTAACTTAACTTTGTCCTTTTCCAACTCGATAGACTCCTTGACATCCATTTCTTCCTTTAAGACATTTACCTAGGAAATTGAAACAATGTGTTGTTCCTCGTCACACGTTTTCCGGCCTATAGATTCAATGTTGTCAACTTACATCCGCCGGTTTTGCATCAACAGAGGGCATTTGGTTCACAGATACTGGCTGATCAATCGAGTGAGATGGACTGTACGTGGAATCTGCTGTAGGTGTTGTGTGTTCCGAAGAACGCGCACACGCCCTACTGCAATATCTACGCTCCTTTGTGTAAAAGGCATGTTTCACTCCAATAGCACCACATTTTTCACAAACAGCTGTAAAATCAAAATTCAAGCCTTTACTTTTCTACGATGGGAAGATACAGACGATCGAGTCGCTTCGATACCTCGTTAAATTCCTTTACTGTTTCTTCTTCTTTTAGCAATTGTAGTTTCAATTATTGTAGATTATACTCACCTATGCCATCTTTGCGAATAGGAATAAAATTTAAATCAGTATGAGGCTGATAAGCAATTGGCGTTTTCAAGACGAGTCCTGGATGCTTGATGGGCTTTATCTTTCGATTGCGATTATCATGGGTCTGAGTCGCCGCGTTGCTCATAATTTGTTCTCGCTCCTCGTCGCCCATGTAATCCTCCAATGTCAAATATTCGCTCATCTCCGGCCTCTCGGATTGCGAGTCGTAATCCTTGAAAAGAGAAATGGGGAAAAATGGCAATTATCAGGAATACGTGGAAGTTGGGATCGGGGCCCTCCTCTCCCCTCGACAAAACAAAACTCACTCGCTGTATCTCGTGGGCGTCTATAGCCTCCATCGCCTCGTCGGGTTCCGAGCACTCGTTTGAGAATTGTTGCGGTATGTAGCGCACCATAGTGGTAGGAGCGATGTGGTGATTTCTGAGATCTTCGTAGGAATGAGAGCCGTGCGAGAAGAACGGGCTCTCAGCTTGACGGGGATCCAGCATGAGCTCGTGAGCGGGCTCCCCCATCATCATATCCCCCATCCATACCATCCCTAGTTGTTCAGGATATCCAGGGATGGAAGTATACACTGTATTCATACACATATCCATTCCTACATTCACACGAGTCACCAATTGTTACTTTAGGCCAAATCATCAGTGCAGAGATATTCTTTCGTAAATTTTGATTCATCGGGGAAGAATGCACGCAATGCTACTTCCAATTTACTTTTTCATTCGGCGCGATTACAAATTATTCGGGCACTCCGCAACATTGTCGGCTTGCGTTTCGGACCGATCTTTTTACGGGTGGTTTTAATTTACTAGATCGCGAATCTTTTCCTCTAGCTCGTCAAGAACTTGACATTGACGTATACTGAATTGGTCAATCCAAATTTTTCACCGTACACGAGTTCACGCTAGAGGAAAAGATCCATGCTCGAGAGCTCCAGTACATACCTATCGCGCGACGCGCAATCTCGTTAGGTATGTACTGGGGGAGGCTGTCGGGGATTTACGAGCAGCACGCGGACCGCACTCTCGTCGCGTTACTTGGCGCAATTTCCAGGTAGCGTGAAGCGACGCCAGGAAGCCTCGGAAGGTGCATTCATTTAACCCCTCTCGGCGCACAGTTCTCGCGTCTCGCGCGCGTCCGGCGGTTCCCGGCGAGCCCGAGCGCTCGGCACGCGAGTAAACGCGAGGGCCGATCCGGGAACGTCGCGCCGTCGCCGCCGCCGCCGTCGTCGTCGTCGCCGAGGGGGGGTAAGAAACCGGTCGGCCGGTCGCGGACGGATCGTGCCGCATAGGAAAACAAGTGCGTACCATTAGAAGCCTGCATCTCCATGACAAAGAGTCGTTCGTGGGTATCCTCGACGTTTTCCACCGGTATTACCGCAGTCTACGCTCGTCGCAGTGCACTAGTCCCATCTCGACAGGCACAAAACGCATCGCCGCCGCTTGAATTTCGCCTCGCCCGAGTACACGGAGTCAGTCGAGATTCATCGTTACTCGCGACATTGCCCCGAACAATAGGGGCAAAAC